GCCTAACATCTAATTTGGATTTGTGTAAGAAAAGTCATGTAATTCTAGTGTAATCGTTAATAAATGACATAAATAATCAAGTCCTGTAAATACTAGAAGCGTAAGATGGCCCCCAAACGTCATCATGAATTAAAAAGAACGTAAACATACTTCTTTTATTATTAATAGAAAGTACATGCTTATATTTAGCTAACTCATATAAATCGTAATGTAAAATTCTCATAATTAAAATTTTTAAATAATAGAAGAAACACAACCTTTAAAATGGACAAGGATAAATGGTGAAATCTCTTGTAATAGAGACAAACCTTGTGACTTGTGTCATTTATTGACAATTGCACAAGAATCACTTAACTGCTTTTACTTAAAGTCAAATCTCACATTAAACATATCATAACCTAGTTCTATGACATAATAAAAACTCAATTCGAAACAGGCATAAAATAATTCTACGCCGACAATTCAAAAGATTTTTTTAACCACACACTTTCATCATAAAGAAATTCTCCATGAATCATCCGACATCTGTACTCCACAACAAAACAAAATAGCATAACACAAAAATTGTCATCTTTTAGCCATCACCACCACTTTCTTTTTTCAAAACCAAATCCTAAAACAATATTTAGGCGAAGTCATCCTTATTGCCACCTACATTTTACCCACAAGTATTCTTAATTTTAAAAGTTCTTTTAAAACACTTCAACAATTTTACCCAGCAGTAAGTCTCACAAAACATTTCGTCCCTCGGATATTTGGAGTCCTACTTTTATTCATATTCATTCCTACCAAAAAGAAAAACTTGATTCTCAAGTCCTAAAATATATATTTGTGGAGTACACCTCTCAAAAATTGTACAAATGTTACCATCCATCTACCTAAATATTCTATGTATGTTCAGACGTCACATCTGTTAAATAAGAATCCTATTTCACCTAATCTTATCTTCATGAGGAGTATATATTGAAATAAAAGTATTCAAAATTCTTAATGAATTTTAACTTACTACCATTGTCACATACCTTAAAACCATCACCACAAGAAAACGTTTAGAATCTAATGAAAAACTCATCATCACAAAAATACCTTCAAAATCCATCTTTCCAAGAGAACATATCAGACCCTAAATTTTTTCAAGTGTATACAAGGAGAAAGATGACAAGTACTGAGCTAAAGTCGGTCTAAGAATTCGACTTTGAGTCTAAAAACCAAATAAGTTCTTAAAAATTTATATAATCTAATAACGATATACCTATCGCACTTCGTAAAAATTAAAGAAAATGCACTAAACACACTTTACATCCCATCTAATAGTTTGTGTCCATCAACCCATAGAAATTTCTCCACAAGTTTGAATAATGAATCTATCCCTAACATAGTATTTGAAGAATTATCCTATAAAAAATAGAAAAATGTTATAAGTGTGGAAATTTAGACATTTGAAAAGAACTACACTTACAAAATTGTGGATTTACCCAAAGGTCAAAACTCGATGGGATGCAAATGGATCTTTACAATCAAATATAAAGGAAATTAGACAATCGAAAGATATAAAGCGACACTAGAAGCAAATGAATATACACAAACATATTAAATAGACTACTAGAAGATATTTGCACCAGTACCCAAGACGAACACTATGCAAGTCCTATTGTCATTAGTTGTCCACTTTGATTGGCAACCATAATATTTTGATGTAAAAAAATTCCTTCATGCATGGACAGCATGGACATCTAGAAGAAGAAATTTACATGAATATCGCACTAGATTTTGATAAAGAAACATGACCAAATAAAGCTGTAAACTAAAGAAGGAACTAATGGACTCAAACAATCGCCAAGAATATGATTTAAAAGGTTCATAAGAGCGATGATAGATATGGAATTTAAACAAACTCATGATCTCTTTGGTCATCAAAT